TATCCATATTTGAAAAAGGGACTCCTATATTTTTGCATTTTTCTACTTTTTTATCCCTGTAGCACTCCCCTCTTCTTTTGAAATTCAAGATGTGCTGGGGATGAGGGGTAGAGAGGGCATTTTGCTTCAATGGTGGGCTATTTTCTATTGGAACATACATTTTTCAGGCTCTTAAGAACCAGAAATGTATTTGTTCATATTGAGGATTCAGGTTACTTTTCATGTATGCCGTTGTGTTGCTCTGGTCCCCTTATTCTGACTTCCAAGCTCTTCTGTCTCTGACATCAATCGCAGAGAGTCTGCATAAGGATCAAAGAGCAAAGCTGAAAGCAGAATTTATACTTGCTAACTGTGTAAATGGAACAATTGCACAGTGGCTAGGTCCACCATGTGTCATATTTAAAGATAACAATAATAAATAAAATATTGGATGAAATGGAAGCATGTCTGCAATTGTTGAACGTTTTTATACAGTTTTTCTGTATTTTCCAGCAATTTTCTTCATTTGTCTCCTATAAGAAATATGACAATATTGTGCAATTTGCCCACCATTTTGGGCCAGATTTGCTGTCATTTTCCAGCCACTCAGAGATTTGGCATGCTCTTTTTATAGACTTTTCAGCCCTCCTCAATGCTATTCTCACCTATCTTGGTTGTGTTTCCTTTTTAAAATTATGCAAAATGAACATTTAAAAGGATCTGAAAGTGTGGGGTTGAATAACCTGCATTTCTTCCAAAGTGATAGAACAAAAACATTCTTGTTGTATTGTATAGAACTTTGAGATGTATTTTCCTTAGATATCATGCTGTAGCTCAGAGAATTATTTTTTAAATATTTATGAATTATGTAACTCTTTGTGTAAAACTGTAATACAAGATTACATGCTGGTATGTATGTGTATGATAATAATGGTACAGTGGTCCTAATTTATCCCTGTGTCTTTCCTAGATGAGCAAGATTTGTCCCAATCTCTTCAATAGTTACCTTCTTGACTACCACATCTCCCTTAGGCTTTATTTTTTCCCCCAAATAATGTGTATTATCTTTTATGCCTTTTTTTTTTTTACTCTATGGCCATATTATTCTGAATCTATTAACACTGGCATAAAAACTCATCCAAATTTTGGGCCAAGTGGTTAGAACTCTAGCCTGATATTACTCTAAATTAATCATCATTAGTAATGGCCAATAAGAGTTCACAATACTTTGTAACTGAAAGTCAAAATAAATACTTTTTTTTGGTATATGTGGGAAAATTGACTCCCTGACATTTAAGAAATATGTGATAAGGAGTTTAAAAGTACATTCTAGTGGCAGCGTGTTTCAGTAGATGCGGCTTCAAACAAGGAACCAAGAGACTTGGGTGACATTCCTTGGTGGCAGATCTTCTGTTTGACCTTGTATATGTCAGTCATGATAGATAGTCCCTTATTCCCAAAAGTTGTAAAATCAGTATACTTGTTGGTTAGACTAATAACTTCTTTAAGAAGCACTGATGGTCTACACCTCCAGAAGAAAATATTAGCAAGTGCTTCCCACTATGGACCCTATACTTCCTACAACTGATTTCAGGGCAACCTGCTGGACCCTTTGAATTGAACCGTTTACTTAATATGGACATAGGTGCCTTATTTAGGCACCCACTTCTTATGTTGTGTTTTGCAGACTTAGTTCATGACTTCTACTCAAGATAAACAGCAGCATGCTATGTGAAAAAATTCAGTACAGGCAGTCCTCGATTTACAGCATTTCGAGTTACAACGTTTTGCACTTACAACATTTATAAATTGACATCCTGTTTCAACTTTCCGACATCAGTTTCAACTTTACAATGCTTGATCTGATGTGTTGCCCATCTCCTTGGAGAACATCTGTTCAAATATCCTTGGACACTTTCTTTAAGAAAGCAGACAAGACTCCAAAAAACCTGCAGCCAAGACTCCTGAGAAGACTCCAGCCAAGAACCCTTCAAAAAGTCCAACCAAGAACCCTTCAAAAACTCCAGCAAAGTCACCTTGAAGAAGTTCTTCTGAATCAATATGATTGCTATTTACAATATAAATACATTAATGTAGCTATATTACTCATCTATAATTGATTGAGTACAAAATTCTGGGTTATTTTTGGTGAAAATAGGGTATGGGGCCTAGGTTCAGGAACCAATCCCCCATTTATAACATTGTATCCTATGGGAAAATTGGTTCCGAGTTACAACATTTCAACTTAAGACGCAGTTTTCAGGAACCAATTGTGTCGTAAGTCCAAGGACTGCTTACACGGAAAAGTACTACATCTCATAAGGCAGTTAACAGAGAGAAGTCAGTGAGCACACAGCATAATTTTGCTGCTATGAAAAACAATATTAAAAATCCTTAACAAAAGGTTTAACTTTATTAAGGTAAAAACAAAAGAGCCCCTGCTGATTCAAGTGAATAAACTGTTCTCAGTGTTAAAACTTGAATTAATTAGATTTATCTTTAATATAATTCAAAACAGAAAATCTGTGAAAATTTGTATTTTCAAATCAGTTAACCAGTAAGTAATATCAGCTACAATATTCAGATTTAAAGGATGACCTTTTAAATATGCTGTATGAAATTAAATTTTAATGAGTGGTAATAAATGGTGATACTTCCATGGGAGGAAATACAATACCAGCCTCAAGCCCTTTCTGTATGCCTCCAACTCTAGCACCTGTTCTGCAGTGTCTGTTTCATTATTTTCAAAATTAGGGAGGATGATGAGAATAAAATACTTTGAAGAACTGAAAATAGTTTTAATGCTGCACTTAAATGCTGTGTTTATAGAGGAATAATTATATCCCAGTTGCTTACATGACGCTTCATTTTCAGAAATACTATTGCTTTAAATACAAAAAGACAGAATACAATTTTAAGGTTATTTGTTGCATTTTCCTTTGGTTTTGCTGACTAATTGAATAAGAATTTCACATAAACACTACCATAATGTATGCTGCTCTATGAGAGAGGGCTGTGCTGTTGTTTCTCAGTGCAGAGGGAAAGCATGATGCAGGTGACCCTTCAAGGATAAAAAGAGATTTTACAACAGTAACAGAGAGAACAGGACGGGAAGTAAGGAGGCGAGGAAAGGAACATCAACTTGCATTATTAAAATGCTAAATAGTATTAGAATATCAGCCTCCCTACTATCAACAATGACTGGAATCAATCCACGAATCCTGAATAGGTCTGTAAATGTCTCTCCAACCATAGCCTTTGGCATAGTCTTATATTTGCAGTCCCTTGGGCACTGAAATTCATTTTCCTATTGGTAAATGAGAACAATTTATCCTAAATCGATCATAATCAGAATAAACACTATTATTAATTTATTGTTTCCAGTATAGGGAAAAAAAACCAGTAGGGTGAAGCTTTCTCTTTTTTTTCATCAGTGCTTTTTCTACCCCTTTTGCCCTGAGGATCCTATTAGTAGAGAGCTGAGCATCTCTGTTTCATCAGAAATAAATTATGCCTCACTTTTTTAATGTAAGTACTGAAGGGCTGTAAAGATTAGAAACATGTTTGAACCCACTATCACTTGATGTTATTTTCCTTGATGTACCAAGCTTCTTTGGGGGAAGTGAAACAACACATTCGTTTGAAAGCAAAGAGTAAAGTCACTTTAAAAGAACACCAGCAAGGATTTTGATTGATATACAAAATAATTCAAAATCTATACAGAAATATTTAACATAACGTATGTGTAATCTGATGGAGGCTCATCCAAATGTCTAGTACATGTAAGAGAACGTTTGCAGGGCAAGTAGGTGGCAGAACCAGTACCCCTATATTTAAATTGATTAGAAAACTGTAATTCCCAAGAAACAGTAGGCTAATTCTCACTTCCTTCACAAAGGGGCTAAGGATGAAAAAACACCTTTAATTAATAAGCACTGTTGGCACTACTTTGGTAACAAGCTGCTGTAAATGAAGCTCTAATTGCTTCAGAACAGAGAATTTTATACAAATGCATTTTACTCCTAAGTGCTATTCTTTGTTGTAGCTATTCCACCTCCTTTAAGTTAATAAAAAAGTAGCCATGTTCGTTGTTATTTTAAAAGTGTTTCTTGTCAACTCTCTGTTGAAGGGTGGGAGCTGTTGTTTTGCTTTTTTTTAATAGACAGAAATTAGAAGTGTTGTAGCAGTGTCTAAATCCAAGCTAGGTTAAGCCTGTGTAAGAGGCTTTTACTAATATGCTTTTGCTTGAAATTATATAATTAAAGCAACAGAAAAGAGTAAAAGTAACTTGTACTGTTGTTATGGTGAATCTGTTAATATTTTGCCATCTCTCTTGATCTTCTATGTATACTATTTTACTGAAGATATTTTCTTTAAAATAGAATAATATTTTGAACTTCTGTGCTGAGTAACCTTTGACAGTATTTATATACCTTATGGACCTATGAAGCATAATTCATTTAAGATAATACATTTTGACTCAGATTATAGTTAACAGTCTCACCTTCTCTGTGGTGGCTAGGAATTGCATCTTAAATATATGTGCCATCAACCCCTAGAAATTGTGAGTGCTATTACCATGTTAAAAACATGGAGCCATACATTAATAATAATGGCCTTAACCATGTGGTCCTTTAAAATCCCCAAACTCTTGCTTCAATTATGAAGGGTTTTAGAGGCCCAAGTTTGCAATACTAGATCCCCAAATAGCTAGCTGAATCTGAAATGATAAAACTGTATTACTATCTCAAGCTAAAGTTAGACAGATGAATTCCTAATTAGTAAAAAGAATGAGGGCAATGGAGTGATGAATGATTTCTTGCAGAGCTGTCCAAATCCATCACAGTATTTTTGATTAAAGGAAAGTATGTGATAAATGGTAAAACACTTTATAGCGATCTCCAGTAACTTGTTGCTGTACTTTTTTAATGGTAAAAATGAGAATCCTAAACCTTCAGTGGTTAGCAGCCATACAGTGGCTGACAAAATCACTGAAAGTATTTACTTTCTCTTTTCTTTAGAATTGCTGGATGAGTGAATGGTCACAGATCTTGCAGCACACAGAAAGCAAGGTAAGTAGTGTCTAAGATCTTTATTTTTGACATCTGGAAAGTATGACAGATAGATAGATACTGAACTGGTATTGATTGCCACTCTTAAACTTTCACGTGGTGGTAAATGACATGTATATGTGTGCATATATACACACACACACATGCATGTCATTTACTACCATGAGAAAGTCTAATATTGACAGTCAATATCAGCTGGGAAAATGAAGCCTTCAAAGGAAAGGGTAAATGTGCAACAATGTTGGCAATAAGACGTAGCATATTATGTCCTAGATAATAGTGCCAAAGGGGAAAAGAAGATATCCAGTCCTGACCTTCCTTGACCTGCATCCTTTGTCCTGTCTCCTAGGAGTATCCCGTAACCACCTTGCCAGAGAGTTATTCTCATTCCCTTGGTCTTAGGTTCAATACATTTTTTATTTGTTTTGTAATATATATATTTATAAGTGTGTGTGTGCGCGCGCGCAATTTTTCTATATCTATAATATATGTGTGTATGAGATATTCATGTTTAAAACACTTCTGAAAATGAAGAAAGTTAGGATATCAAAGGTCATTATTTGTAATACTGCTGTTGATACAACTTATTCTGTGTATGTGCTTCAAAAAAAATGTTCTTTCCTAAAGAAAAGCAGGAGCAACAAGGAAAAACAAGAATATTTTTTAAAACAAAAGAATACAAGAAGATATGATTATAAACTAAGTAGACAGTGTTTATAACATGATGCCTCGGAGGCAAAGGTTTGCAATCCAGAAAACACACTTAACCTTTTATGTAGCCAAGGTCATCGCAGCATGGATCAGAAAACAAATTTCAGAGGTTTCTTTAAAATTATTAAAGAACCAGGTCTTGACAGTGTAAGATAAAAATGTGGCTAAGCATGAGATATACTAATTATAGATGAGCAGTTTTTATTTAAGTCAAATTAAAAAAAAAAAAAAAAGCCCAGGATTTTCTTCATCATGAATTAAAGTGAAAAAACTGAGATATAAAATATCCCCAATTATAACCAAATATTAGCAAATTCATCTGCTAATTGTGACTGGAAAGGATCAACTGAAACACTTCTGAAGCTGTTGGGCTTACAAATGATTTATGTCTGTAAAATTACATTTCATCCAACAAAAAGTTAAATTTAAAACCATAAAACAGCATTTTTTTAAGAAAAAGGAAGTCTTTGCGGTAAGCATGCACCTCACCATCACCCCGTATTGCTTCCATTGCAATCAATGGCAAAATTACTTTTTGTCTTACGAAGAGAAGGGCTGGACTATGATGAGTAATCAAACAGAGATAAGATTTACAAAGACTGTTATAAATACCATTGCCATTTAACAAGGTCTCTAGAATAAAGAAGCTGAAAGAAATGACAACATAAATACATACTCTAGCGTAGTTTTCAGGCAGTACCTGTTCTGCACTGCTGTGCAACAGGACACAATCACCCACAAACACCAGTAATGCCAGTTTGAGCAAGGTAAAAGAAAAGGAAAATCCCCTCAAGTTCAAGAACATCTCCTACCTCAACTAAACAAGGTGATACAGACAATTCCAGCATCACAAATACTAATTCTGATTAATGTACGTGGTCACCGTTTCACCATACTATATTATGCATCACAGTAATAAAAAATGTACGTAAAATATTCCTTTTAAAGAGTTACAGCTGAATTTGCTAATAACAAAGAACATATCCTGAAAATGGATTAATAAAAAATCTTTCAGTGCAATTATAAATCAAAATAATAGTTGCATTAAAAAATTAAGAGAACATTGTCTGGAAATGACATACTGTACAGGAATGTCTTCCCCACTCAATTTCCGAGAAGAGGATTTCCATTAGTTACTGCAGAGCTACAGAACATTAAATATCCAACAAATATGATACTCCTTTCTTCTAAGAACTTAAATAACCAGAAAGCTAGAGCTTTGCAATGGAGAGCAGATTTACAATTTTATGAGGCAGATATGAGTTCAATGTGTAGATCTGCATGAGATACAGTAATTTGGAGCTTTGTGAACTTAGGTCAGAAATGTCACTCGTGTTTAGCTCAAGTTGGGCAGCTGTTGGAATGTGAATGAAAAAGCAGGTGGAAGACAAAATCAATATGAACCAAAAACAGTGAGGAAAAAGGACACTGGTAAGGAGAGAAGGAAAATATATGAATGTGTATGAAAGTGTCTCAGGTCATCTTGCAGCCTTTATCATGCATTTTGTCCCAGGGAAATGAATAGGAGGGTTTTTGTGAGTAAGAACTACGCATTTAAGTGAGGAGAACATTAGAACGCAAGTCTGAAGTGTGCTTCTTGCTTTGATTAAACGTCACTAACAAGGAATATATATATATTGTATAAAATAGGGAAACTAGTGCTCTGACAGTTTCTCAGGATTTTGTGTGGGCATTCCAAGCAAAATGAAAAGCCTGTTCAAAGGCAGAGGTGTAATTGACCATGTATTGGGAGTCACAGTTTTGTGCCATAATATATAGCTTATAAATTATAGCTTTAGCTACATAGGAACCATATAATAACCAAACAATGATAGGCAGCCATAGCTTTTTATTGTGAAAGTGCTAGATTTTGACATTATAATTTTAGAACTTGGAGATAAAGTTTCTGATACACTGAAATTTAGGCATATTGGGTGCTGAGCTCAAACACTGATTGCTGAGTGTACAGTAGGATGAAAAGCTTCAGTTAGTGAAGATCAATATGATAGATTTTCCTCTCACGTCTGAAAACATAAAAGCTTTTCATGATGCCACAATCCTAACAATAAATAAACAGCAACTTTCTTTCTCAGCACTATGAATATAAAATCTGTCATGAGACAAATATCCAGTGTAAAATGACAGAAAGTTAGAAACGTAACTTCAATCACTTGTCACACTTATTTACATGCTTGCCTGAAGATTAGTATTATTTATATAGCAATGACACCTAAGAGCCCCTGTCATGGTCTAAGATCTTTCTGTACTAGAGGTCCCTGCCCCAACGAGCAGATAATTGAGATAACAGCTAACTTGCATCAAATTGATATTATGAAAGTTGTTTTTTTGAATTCAGTAAAAGTTGTAATAGCTTAAAAATAGTGCATATAATTGTTTTTCTTTTGACTATAATCGCTGTTAACATTGGTATTAGCAATTGTTTCCTAATGATGTTGAAGCTGTTCTATCTTCTCATAAGTCAGTCAAAAGTTCTGCAGTTTAAGCTATCATCTGCAGAGTCATATTCAAAATCTTCAGTAAAAATATTAAAGGGAATAAAGTTGCAAGTGAAAGCCCAGAACAGGTCCCACTTACTACCCAGTCTGGACTGGTCTTGTGTTCAGCATGCAGGGCTCTTCTGGTGCTGGCACCGCATGCAATGCACACCCTAGACTGTCATTGTGCCATGTGCAGCCTCACGCAGACAGCATCTCCGTTTTAGAGGAAGAGCATTGAACAATGTATATCTAAAGTAATGTATCCCCTGTTCATTACCTAACCTGGCATCCACCATCCTTGTCTTAAAGATTCCAGAGGAAATATTAATAGATCTATCATCCATAAATTTGTCTAGTCCCTTTTTGAACCTGGCTATACTGTGTGCTCCTGTGGCAATGGATTTCATAAGTTAACTACACACTGCACAAAAAATACTTCCCCTTGATAGTTTTAAATCTATCTTCTGCTAATTTCAATAGGTACCTGTTAATTCTAGTATTCTGGGACTTAGTTACTAACAATTTCCTATTCACTTTTTCTACATCCTTCATTCTCTTATACACCTCAGTCCTACTCAAGCCCCATTCCCCCACAAGTCTTCTCATTTCCAAAATGAAGAGTCCTAACCTTTTCAGTTCTTTATTCTCTTCTGCTTTGGCAACTGCAACAGTTTATCACAATCTAGCAACATACCTCTCTCAGTTATTTGTGTGGCACCATTATCACACAGGTTTTGATTGCTGCTGATGTCACCTGGTAATACTGTAATACAGCTAATCCATAATGCTAATTAAAGGAAATGACTATGTAGATTTGCTGTGTGGCTTTTTTAAAAATATATTTCCCAATGCATTTTTAAGTTCTATGATTTTCTGAGTTGTAGATGACTTATCATTGGCAAATGTATTGATAACAAAACTGTCTTGTACTTTAAGCACCATATTAATATTCAGACTACTGTGCTATAGTAATGCACTGCTATAAATACTTAAATAATGGGCATTTCAGATTAAATGGCAAGTATTGTAAATGCATGGTATATAATGCATACCTATTGTTACATTTCTGAATTGTTGATAAGAAATTCTTACCCTGCTTCAGCTTCTCATTGGAAACGCGTGTTTTATTATAGGTCTGCTAGTGAAAAATGAAGCATTTTTATATCAATTTTGATATGTAAATTAAGTACTAGAAAAACCACACAAGCTAAAAAGTAGGGAGGGTAAGTCTTGGAAAATTTGAAGTTCATGTGTATGTGTGTGTGTGTAGGAAGTACTCTAGAAATCTTGCTCTCCTACTCATACTGGCATTTTGACATGTAAATAAATAAATAAAATAAGGAAGCATGGCACCAAATGAAAACTTAGTCTATAAAACACTTTCCACTTAAAAAAAAGTTCAGCATCAGCCTGACTTAATGTCTAAAGCTATTATATATATATATATATATATATATATATATATATAAT